ATCTGCACATCCATTCAAAAAAAACATTTGTCACGAAAAGAGATAAGGTATAACCTATGGGTTATAGAAAATTATACGATGGGACTAAGAAAAGGCCACTTTAGTATCATGCTGAATTACCAAAGGTGAAAGGGTAATAACATGTATTTTGACCTCTCAAGTTAGCCTATGGGTACTTCAGTAGCCATAGGACCACGAGGGCGACTGGCAGTGGTTTCGACGGTTCTCCGATCAAGGCCGAAGACTGGCACTGGAACGCCCCCAACAATGGCTTCGGCTTGGAACACTGCATGGTGCTCCGACCCGACTTCGACCCGCCTCTCAATGATGCAGAGTGTGATCGTCCCAAAAAGTTTGTGTGCGAGTATGATTTATTGAAAGGGTGAAGTGATCATTATGATAACTGCATTGCTGTACTTGATATTGCACATAGCCGTGTAGACCTTTCACGAAACAAACTATCATTTTCACCATTTGTTAGGAGGGAGGTTTACTCAATGTTAACTTTATTTTTGAGGAATAAACGTGCTCTTTACATATAAGAATGATTGTTGAATAATGATAGGATTCAGGATAAATTAACAGGATTTCAGTAATCTTGTCATAGCAGCAGCGCTGCTCCTCTCTGCATTTCGCTTCCACGTCTGCAAAGACCTGTCCTCCGGCTCTCAAGCTTCCTGGTACTGACTTGGCCACACATTCGTTGCTCACATTTAAGCTGTTGCTAAGATGTGTTTGGTGGGTTTTCTGTCCAATAAAGTGTACTTGTTTTTAAATTAATGGCAGATGAGTAGTTTATAATTAATTCTTGAAATAAGAACTTGGACAATCATAATCATATTGTCTATAATCGACAACGTATACATGTATCTGACCATTCGGAAGAATAAAGTATATACGTATGGCACGAATTTCTATCTGCACATCCATTCAAAAAAAACATTTGTCACGAAAAGAGATAAGGTATAACCTATGGGTTATAGAAAAATTATACGATGGGACTAAGAAAAGGCCACTTTAGTATCATGCTGAATTACCAAAGGTGAAAGGGTAATAACATGTATTTTGACCTCTCAAGTTAGCCTATGGGTACTTCAGTAGCCATAGGACCACGAGGGCGACTGGCAGTGGTTCGACGGTTCTCCGATCAAGGCCGAAGACTGGCACTGGAACGCCCCCAACAATGGCTTCGGCTTGGAACACTGCATGGTGCTCCGACCCGACTTCGACCCGCCTCTCAATGATGCAGAGTGTGATCGTCCCAAAAAGTTTGTGTGCGAGTATGATTTATTGAAAGGGTGAAGTGATCATTATGATAACTGCATTGCTGTACTTGATATTGCACATAGCCGTGTAGACCTTTCACGAAACAAACTATCATTTTCACCATTTGTTAGGAGGGAGGTTTACTCAATGTTAACTTTATTTTTGAGGAATAAACGTGCTCTTTACATATAAGAATGATTGTTGAATAATGATAGGATTCAGGATAAATTAACAGGATTTCAGTAATCTTGTCATAGCAGCAGCGCTGCTCCTCTCTGCATTTCGCTTCCACGTCTGCAAAGACCTGTCCTCCGGCTCTCAAGCTTCCTGGTACTGACTTGGCCACACATTCGTTGCTCACATTTAAGCTGTTGCTAAGATGTGTTTGGTGGGTTTTCTGTCCAATAAAGTGTACTTGTTTTTAAATTAATGGCAGATGAGTAGTTTATAATTAATTCTTGAAATAAGAACTTGGACAATCATAATCATATTGTCTATAATCGACAACGTATACATGTATCTGACCATTCGGAAGAATAAAGTATATACGTATGGCACGAATTTCTATCTGCACATCCATTCAAAAAAAACATTTGTCACGAAAAGAGATAAGGTATAACCTATGGGTTATAGAAAAATTATACGATGGGACTAAGAAAAGGCCACTTTAGTATCATGCTGAATTACCAAAGGTGAAAGGGTAATAACATGTATTTTGACCTCTCAAGTTAGCCTATGGGTACTTCAGTAGCCATAGGCTACTGATGGCATATACAGGTCGCACAGGCCTATACGAGACAGCACACGATAGTCTTTTTGGTACTGGTCTTAAATCTGTATTTCTGTATAATACTCCTAAATGCATCAATTCCGTCATAAAATCTTGAACACTGGACATTGCCCTTTCTTTTCCGGGAACCCCATGACCAATATTTTACACCGTTGAAAGTTCCACAGATCCTCTTCCCTTAGAATTGTAGTGTACCTCAACTTTGCAACATTGCTACAACAAAGGTCTTGCAGAGCTTAACTCAAAGAGGGGGCTGTTTCATGAGATTGGAAGCAGGCGTGTGTACAACCCGCTCGTCACGAATCTGATTATTTTAACTTAATTACCTTTCTTAAAAGTAATTAACATGAAAAAAATAGATGTAAAAGAACGAAATGAACTAAGGATAAAACGAAACGAAAATATTGAAGGAAAACCTGAGATTCCTCGGCCTCCATGTTCTCAAAATTTACAATACATGTATCACATCTTAACTGCTTTATTGTAAACGATAAACATATTTTTGCTTCTTCTTCTTCTTCTTCTCCTCTCGCTCCTCTCTCTCTCTCTCTCTCTCTCTCTCTCTCTCTCTCTCTCTCTATATATCTATATATCTCTCTCTCTCTCTCTCTCTCTCTCTCTCTCTCTCTCTCTCTCTCTCTCTCTCTCTCTCTCTCTCTCTCTCTCTCTCTCTCTCTCTCTCTCTCTCTCTCTCTCTCTCTCTCTCTCTCTCCCCAGTCATCATCCTGTCACCATAGTGTGCAGACGTTGTGTGACCTCTTGTGACCTTGACCTGTCCTTACGGGATTTGTGTTACCTTGACTATTAGGTCTTCATAGACCTGCCAGCTGTGGATTGCTGCAGTGCGCGATAATGTTCACATGATCATTTGATCTGAATCTAAAGTGATCTAAATATCATATAGTGAAGTAAAATAAGTGAAAAAACTACGTACGGACACAGATGTGCCTTGTGGGCGCGGCGTAAGCGGCCCGTGTGTGCACCTGGGTTTGCACAGGGAGGTCAGGTCGGGCCCTGTTTCTTCAGGAAATGACCCCGACCTCAAACGAAACAATGACAGACACGCCCATGGAAAACCGAGGGTAGATATGGTGTCCTCCGTGAGGAAGATATCAGTGGCCTCCCCCAGGAACCAATAAAGAAAAAAGCAAAAAGACTACTACCTGACTCTGTAGAAATTACGCCCCCTGGACACCTGTGCGCACATTTTAAAACCGACACAAAGCTTCGGACACACGGGGATAAGTATCGCTGGGTATCCCAGGCTTTAAAATTGGACCCATACAACAAGACAAAGGGGTCCATTGAACTTAAGATTGGGAGAAACAATGTGTTTGTGAGATGTAAAAATGAACAAATTCTTGCCCACATAACCACTGCCGGTGCAGGTGGTGAAATTTTAGAAAAGGCGAAAGTGTATGGAAAAGGCAAGTGCACAAATGTTATTGTGTTCGACGTCCCAAGAGAAATCGAAACAGATGAAATGACGTCTTACAATGAACGCGTCGTACATGCCAAACGCATGAAGATCAATGGATTGATGACCCAGAGAGTCATCATAACATATGAGGGGGAGGTAATCCCCAAAACTATCAAAATGGTGGAGGGCATGGCACCCTTTAGATGTGCCATCTTCAAATCTCTGACCCCGTTTTGCTCCCATTGCTCAAAGTGGGGACACGGGGCACGTGCGTGTCCACGAGAGGCACCGCGGTGCCGATACTGCGCTCTTTCGCATGAAAGCTCAGAGTGCGCAGAGAAAATTTCTGAAGGTAAAATCATCCCTCGGAAATGTGTGAACTGCCGTCAGGAGCATAATGCCAACTCGCCATTATGCGCCTACTACCCGAAAGACAGAAGGACAACACATGAAAAAAAGCAGGCAGCCCCTCCCCCCAATAAACCCCGCCCAGCCCCTCGTCTTAATGACGTGCGGGAATTCCCACACCTGCAGAGGTCAACTCTGAAAGCCTCTGCAAATAAAGCCATGGCACCGGCCACATCACCAGCTGTAGCACCTGCACCAGCTGCAACACCAACGACAGCTGCAGCTTCTACTCCAGTTGCAGCACCCACTCCAGCGCCAGCTGTAGCACCAGCTGCAGCTCCTGCTCCAGTGCCAGCTGCAGCACCGACGCCATCACCAGCTCCAGCTCCTCCCTCACCGCAGCAGGAAAAGCAAGAATCCAACAGGGAAATGAAAGATTTGATACAAATGTTGTTCAAGCAGATGGAGCAGATGATGTTCATGATGCAGCAACAGATGGTGCAATTCCAGGAGAGGATTTTTGCGCTCTTCCTCGAGCAACGACAACATCCAGTGGGCCTTGGAAACGGTCAAGTGATGATCGATGGATCAAAATAATCTGTTAAAGTGCATTACCTGGAACATTAACAGTTTACAGAAACGCAAGGCGACCCTCGCTCAGTATCTTCACTCGGAAGATGTTGATGTGTGTTGCCTCCAGGAAGTTAGAACTGATGCTCGTTATGCAAAAATTGCAGGATACACATATCACGACAAACCTAATATTGCTAATCCTTCTGCAAGAGGACTTGGTATTTACATAAAAAATAGTATCCCATCAAAAGTGATCGATGACAACCGTGACAATGCAAGTGCTGAATATCTTGGTGTTAAAATATTTCTTGATGGTAGAACCATCACCATCATTAATGTATATAACCCACATGATAGTGAAGTGGTACCTAAACCTCCCGACAGTATGATACATAATGCTACTGTCTTACTGTGTGGAGATTTTAATG